AAAGAGGAACTTGCAGTGATGAACTCCAACATGCAAGAATCTATTCTTCCAGTCCTGTTTATATCCAAACAGTGACTTTATTAAAGCAATTAATATGCTGATTGTGAACTGGTTTCTCTAAAGGAAGAGAAGCAAAGCCACCTATAAGAGAGTGCAGGCAAGAAGGCAGGGTGATTACAGAAGCAAGCAAAACTACAACTGTGCTTAAGGTTGCAATGTGATGCTGAATCATACCCCATAGTCATAATCATAAAGCAAGTATCTGTCCTCTTGGTCTTCTACTGTTAAAAAGCAGAAGTTAATTTTCTTTTTGTATCCATAATTTAATCTATAGCAAGCTAACAGTTTTTATGAAAAGCAGCTGTCAAAAAAGCCAGCCTTTTTGTTTGATGTATTTTTTTCTAGTGTCTTTGTGTAAGGCAGTAATCTTTCCTTTTGACATACCTATTATGTCAGGAATTCAAGTAGGAGCATACTGACAGATACATGATCACAACAGCTTTATTCAGTCTCATACTTTTGAGTTCTAACATTGTAATTTTCACTTGTGATTCATGGAGCCCCTGAGAAGTACGTATACATTGATTGCTGGATGGCACAACAAGTTGTTTTTAAGCACACCGCAGGCTCTTAAATTTCAAACCAGCAACCTCTTGGCTGTTTATAAATCAGTTTATAAGCACCACTATAGGAATGGGTAGGATGGACAACTGAGTGCAGTTTAACTATATCTCAAAGTGAAGACTGAAGGTATCACCTCACTGCCTGCATTCTTCCTTTGGGAAGAAGGGTAACGTTTTGTTAGCAGAACTTTGATTGTACTGACAAAACCTTCCAGCCTCAGTCAGGCCCAAGCTCAGAACTGCTTGGTACTTATCACACATCCGCCCCCCACACTTATTTTAACAACTGTCTCCTAATTTATTCCAGGAGGCTGAGTGGTACACAGCACTCTCCCTGCCCTCTGCAGTCACTTGACTCATAGCACTGCTGCTGCCTCCCATCACGAGGGAAGTCAGCCAGGGAGAACCAAGTCTTACATTTTACAAAGCTCTACCTAAACAAATGTGTAGAGAATATTTTTGCTGGTCACTAAGGATATAACTTTAGACAGCCTTCATACAGCAGAGCTTCCCAAACTGAGTCGAGAAGCTTTCAATAAAATCAGCTGATCACTTCATGTTGTTTTATTGCATTGCTACTCCCATTACTTCTGCTCCATGTTTTGATAACTACCTAAATTATCAACACATCTCAACAATCACATTTTGTACATCACCAGTGTACGTCAATGTACATAGAGTGAACTTCACAGTACTGGTAAGTTTCCTTCCCACTTTAAACCAATCACTAAGAAAATTGACAAAAGAGATGAAATTCTTTAGCACATCTTATCAGAAATATACATAGATAAGCTATATTAACATATGCATCTGGATAATACTAAAATAGCCTGGGAAACAGTGTCTATGTTATTCACTGAATGGCGCAACGATTAATCTTTTTCCTTCCCTTCCATGGTCATTTTCCATGCCCTTTCATGCTCCTTGCTGTTTTGAGAATTTGTCTTGGTGATGGAGGAAGAAAGAGGGATGTGGCTAAGGGGAGATGGCTGGAGGATGGGGTGATGCAGGGAGAGCTGCATCTGGAGGTAAAGGGGACAGCACAGAGCAAGGCCAGACAGTTTATCGCCACCAAGAGCTGCCAAACCCGTCCTGGTGCCTCTCAGGTGGGACACCAGGAAGAGCTCAGCATCCTCCAGCCAAAAGGACAGGATGGGAAGTGTGGCAGAAGACCACTGGGAGGGCTTGAGCACAGCTATGCCAGGACAGGATGCACTAAGCAGCACCCGACAAGGTAAGGTGTGCTTTACTCCAGGCCTGTACAAAGCCTTTTCAGCAACTGGCTTGCACTTGTCTTGCCTGCCCTGTCCCAAAGGCTCCCTTACAGGGAGATTCCCGGGTTTATCAAGGATGTGTCATGGAAATCCCTTGTAGAAAAAAACCACATAAAAATAATCATAAAAATCGGGATCTGGCATCCCAGGCACCCTCCTGGATCACTCATTGCACTGGAACATCAGTCTGGCGGTCACAGCGCTCATGTCATGGTCTTACAGAAGATCGTTTGAATAAAAGATCTTTGCACATTACCCACAGCTAATGACTCCTCTCATATCAGACAGTGTTTTCTCTGCCATCTGCAGCTATTTTCTGTTCCAGCCTAGAGAATTCAAAGGAGGCAAGATAACACCTGGGCAGCATATCTGAAGTGCTGTAAACGTGGTTTAGTAACATATCTAGGTATGAAGTAACCATCAGAACCTGAACTGTAAATAAGTGAACCTAGCTGGAAATGCACACAAACGCTTTTTACTTAAGGCATTATCACCAGGAGGAAAACTTTAGTGACTTTAATGATTTTATTCCTGATAATTATTACTTTTCTTAATTTTCCGTTATCTGCTCAAACCACAGGTTTAAAATACTGCTGTAATTGAGCTCAGTGGGAAAACTGAAATGATTTTTCATTATGTAAGTGGCTTGATAAAATGTAACAGGAAATGGACTGGACAAGCAGTTTTGCAGTGACATGGAGACCATCCTTCTGGTTAGCTAAGAGACTGGAGAAAGTAAGCCTTGGAAATTCATCTTATTTGACATGCTAAAAATAATTTGATATTAAAAGCACTGACCATAAGCTCATTATTTTATGCAATTACTGCCCATTATTCTTAGACAATGATTCAGTAGTGCTCTGCGATAAATCCAAAGACTGAAGAGCAACCCTGTAAGATTCATTTTATTTCAATTATTAAGTAATCTACTTGAGCCAAAATCCTTTTTTTTTTTCTTTTTTTAAAGGACCCCTAAATTCAATTAAGAGCTCTTGTAAAGACTCACCCATTTACAATGGGCCTCTGGTCATGGAAAATTTCAATCTGAAATACAGTCATTTCAGCTTGAAACATAGTTCTTATAAAACTTGCTCAAGATTTCCACTGTGATAGTGTATTTTCTACCACACCTATTTCTCTATAGGCACTTCACTAGACTCACGTATCTTCATCTTGAAGTATGTCACACATTGCCTTTTCATCTCCCACAAGAAAGGTCTGGTTTACATAATAACCAATGATGAAATTACTACAAACGTCTGGATGCTGAAACACTTTTTTCCTTAACTTGTTAATACATCCAAGAAAACCCATCCCTCGTATACCACTGACACGGCAAGACCAAGAACTGTTATCAGTCATGTGATTTGACTGACATTTCCCATACCGTGGCAAAGAAGAGATCTAGATGTTGTTCACATCTAATCTTTCTTCCGACAAAGGCACAGGGTTGCATTGCTGTTTGACCACTGTCTTGTCAAACAGGAAATCAGAAACCAGAGTGATGCTATACTAAAAAAGAAAAAGGCTCACAATATACATTCAGTATTAGAAATCAAGACTCTACAGCCATATTACATTTAAATTGCTTAGTGACAGTGCTCTCCTCTCAACAAATCTCATCAAAAGGGATGAACCCCAAGCTATACACATAACACCACTATATACCCATAGTGCGTTTCATCAGTGTCATTGCCATGTCTGCAGTGTGACCTGAGTAATTACTTTAGGTGAACTGGGTAACGGTGGCACAATAAGGGTCAGGACAAGTCAAATTCATGGAGTGCACACAATTCCACAGGGTGTCCATGGGAGGTTAACTCCAAACCAGAAAACTTAAGCCCTGTGACAGCCTGACTGCAAAAGCAGCACTTTCTATCAGTGTTTAGTTCCAACTTTCCCATCTCCCATGGGTTAACTCTGAAAGGGAATAGACGATCTGAGTTTTCTATGCATCCTAAATATAAAGTGACATTTGAGACATAGCTGTTTGGATACTGATCACTTGGCTGTTTCAGATGATTAGACTACAGTGCCATATGAGGAATGGGATAATGTTAGGAAAACACTGGTTGTTGTTCTACCTGAAGGCTGCTAAGCATGATAAAATTCTAACAGACATAATCAATATAGCCACTTGATACCAATATCTTCAATTATCACACCAGGGGATGCTTCGCAGAAGAAACAGCCAAACCCGTAATGTGAGTTCAGAATAGCTCCTGTTTTAAATACGTCAGCGAACTCTTCTCTGAAATCTTGCTGAAGTAACTGACCACTTCCTTGTGAAGCACTACAGCTGAGACCAACTGCAGTTCCTGCCTTGCAGATAAACTATTTTCTTTAATATGCTCTTAATTTTATACATGTAAGTATATCAGGCATGGGAATAATTTCAAACTGATAACTAGCATCTAACTAGCATGGACTACATCCCAGCTGCTACTTTTAGAATTCATTTTAAGACTTTTTGATACTAAGGTGACAGTACTATAAGTCATCTGAAGCAGGCATAATTATATTATCTGTCCATATGCTTCTGCGCTAAGTCTCTCTACTTGCTTTTAGCAGAAAGCCTTGAAGGACGGGATTGCTTCTCAAGTGATCTCTTGAAATACTCAAGTAGTTTTATAACATATTTTATGACAAGTTTATTATGACAACTTCTTTTGCAGCTATTTCTTTAGGATGAATTGTCACAATCAAAGTTTTATGAATATGAAGAAATGCTCTTAAGAACAAAGTCCAATCTGTGTTCTGCTCTGAACCCTAGCACTGATCCCATTCAGCTGGTAGATAGTGTCAGACAGGACTTACTGTGAACAGCTTAAGGTTCAAACATCAGTAGTAAAAAATCCCAATGCCTTGAGTGGGAAAGAGAACTGTTTCCTGAAGGATAATCTGTGCATACTTCAGAAAACATTTAGGGCAGTTTTGAGCCTTCAAAGTGTCATGACACTAAAACTGATTTTCTAAAGCAGATTCTTTCTGTCAGTTTGGGTGAGTGACAAAATCAGTTGTGCATTTTAGGGAATGATTCAGACCTTAGAAGGGATGCTGCATCTCTTACTTTTCAGTGTGTTTTGCTCTAGGAAAGACTTACAGTTCCGAGGTCAATAATGAAACAGTCTCCTCTGTTGAAGCTGGTCCAAGCCAGGGGGACTTCTGTGGCTCTTACAACTCTCCGGCCCTTGATATGCAGAAGCCTCTGAGCACTCAGATCATTAGTAACAACATGATTAAATCCAGAGGCAACACCACCTGCCTGAATAAAACAAAACAACAAAGCAGCAAGCTTTATTTCAGTTTGATTTCTGCAAATTTACCTTTTTGCTACAGCTGAGGAGCTAGCAGGGGAAAAAAAACAGTTTATGCAGTGAGAGGTGAGCCAAAATAATATACTGTTTAACAGTGCTGACCACAGACTTGGGGAACACTGCTGCTGCTGAACTCTCAGGTGTGAGCCTTTATCTGCGGGAACAGATGTCACTCTGCTTCAAAGGGTTTTCAAATGAATGAGGAAAGGGAAAGCACAGGATTTACCACACTGTCCTGCATCATCCAGAGGATAAGGTAATGCTGAACCACACTGTTAGGACAAAAATCAGTAGGTTATCAAGTAAGGACTGAGGGAAAGCAGAGGAATATGCAGCTCCTGTACAAGTTTTCATAACTTCCTTAAATTCAGAGGTCTGGGTGTTTTTAGTGCCTGGTTATGCGTGGAGGGAGGAGCCATTCCACAGCAGCCCTATGGAAAAAAAAATGTAAAAGAGTGGGCAGGTCACTGTCAAGCTCTCTTACGCAAGCAGAGTTAAAAGCTTCAAATTGTTGTGTAGACTATGACAAGTTACAAACCTCCATAATGGGAAACAGGCTGACTGAGCAATGGCTCCCAGAGCTCCTACTAGAAGGAGATTCTCAGGAGATACATTACTTTATCTTAAAAACACACAGATGTCTCAAAAAATTTCCTTTCAAAGATTCTGCTTCTGGAAGTGACACAACAAGGAGGCTGACACTACAGCTTTTTAAAACATAACATTTTCATTAAAAGTATTTGGGAGTTTTTTTACCTACCTCAAAGGAAAAACTGCAGTAGGACTGCAAAAGCACCATTTTTAGACTAAAGTGAGGTTTTGGTCTTTTCCACTCTGCTCCTGTTTTTAACCACTTAAGCACATTGGGTTCTGCGTTTGAACAAAATGATTCAGTCTACAACATAGAAATGTTTTCTGTGAAATTGACTGCCTCCCAAACACAGCGAGTCCCTACTGTGAGCGCCCTTAGACACACAAGTATGAAATCTCAGGATAGCTTGATTTGAGGGGGAAAAAAATAAATCACTGGGACAGGTTTTCATTATCGGGAAGAGACACTGGTAAACAAGGTGCTGCTTTCTGTACAGGTACTGGGACTCCTATAGTTTAGGATAGGTAGTTCAGATCTAAAACCACTAAACATTAAGACAACTTTTGAACTTTCAGTAACAGATACAAAGCAAAAGATTTGATGTTACTTGGGGGACAATGTTACATATATTTTTAGAATATATTTTGCCAGCTGGCTCTTTACCTTGTATTTAATTCCTCCTTTGAAGTAGCCCACAAACTCAGTAGACTCATATCCTTGTATTTCTCTACTCTGCACAGGCTTTCCTCCTAAATAGTCATCCATTTGAACAGTGAAGATAGCTGCAGCTGTACTTTCGTCCTGGGTACATTCTTTCCCTGAAATAAGATTAAATATTATGTCTATATAACTTCAAATTCTGTTGGAGAAATTGTTTCTGTGACAATCAGGCACTGCCTTCAGCAGGTTATACAGCCCGCGTGTATGTTGCAACAAAGCACTACATCATAACCTTGTTCACCATCAAATGCATGACCATCCAGACTGTGTCTTAACTACTTGTAGAACTGCATTCATGAAGAACAAAAAGTGAAAAATAACCAAGTTTGTCTTCTCTCAGCCTCTTTAAACAATAGAACATTTTAATTGAGTGAGTTTAGCATGACAAGTGTCTACAGTGCAAAGACCAAGGAAGGTTATGTCAAAAGACTGATTAGATGGTAAACCATATATTTATGTTAAGAGCAACTCACCAAGCCATAAAGTTAAAATAACTCAAGAGCAGTCCTATTGACACTATAATGCAAGCAAAGGGTATTTTGCTTAGATATCTTTTATTAGATTGCCTGGTACAGCTGGGAGAAAGAAAAGCAGCTTTGGGGCTCAGATATTTGCTTCATGAGGTCAGTGTTTTGTACCTTTCAGAGATTAGCCTCTTCTCAGGACTGTGGCAAAATGGCCTCCTTAACTAGTGTGTTGATGGCCTGATCTCAGGACTGTGGCAAAATGGCCTCCTTAGCTAGTGTGTTGATGGCCTCACACTGCAAAGTAGGCTGTATATTAAAACAAAACTTTTAGCATGGGCCCATACATTTTTGATGAACATTTTCAGCAGTTTTGATTGTTTCAAGAAGAGCGCAAACAGGATGAAGTCTCAAAAAATTGGCTTCTGAAGAACTTTTGAAGAGTAAGGAAAAGCGAGGTTTTCCATTTAGTTTTTATTTTTTCTTTCTAAATAAGAGGGAGCTGCTGGTATACAAGCAACAGTTCTCAAGAGCAGCTTGTCACTTACATTAACCATTTCCTTGCTTCTAGGTGACTGAGTGGAAAAATACCACAGAGCTCCAGACAGAGATACCTCTCACAGGCTGTGGGAGAAGGGGAAGTGTGTAGTGAGGTCTTGGTGTCACCTCACAGTGTAGTGAGTCATTGGTGTCACAGGGAGCCTGCTGGTAAGGTATTAGGAAAGAATAAAGCATGGGAGAGGGGGCACAGGGCTGCCTAAGGGGATCACCGACCTGGCTCCTCTTTTAGGGAGAATGAGTGCCCTATTCATGGCCCAGCAGTGCAAATGCCACAAGAGAACTCCCCTCCACCCACCAACAACTGTGCTTCTCCCAGGAGCAGTGTCACCACTGCCACCACCGCAGCTTTTGTGGGGACACAGGTGCAATGGAAGCCTCCAGAGAGCAGCAAGGATGAAACAGGGAAGGGATCCAAAGAATAATGGAGGCATAGCGAAGAGAAGAGCATGAGGCCTGCCCAAAAAAGGTAAAAAACACTACTGAAAACAGGACTGAACACAAGAACCTCTGAAAAAAAAAGAATCTCCATCACTCAGTGATGGAAGAACTTGCTATGTGGCAATATGCTTTCTCAGACGTGGGTACCACCTTAAAGTTGGTGGTAAAGTTTTGGGGGTTGGTTTTTTTTAAATAGAGTTATTCATGTCCATTAGGACTAGATCCTTCAGATTTATTGCTTGCAATTACACAATAGGGTTCAGAGTCGAAGAAAACTGGTTTTGGAACAGTGTTAAAGATAAGAACCACTAAAAGGCTCAGTCTCACAGCTGCTATGCAATAAAATACTCAGTGAAACCCTGTTTTAAAAAAAACAAACAAGCGAGCATCAATCCAAGTGTAGGTTATTCAAGCTTGTATGAAAAACAAATTTACGTTATAGTCTGGGGCACAAACAGCTATAAATAAACCAGAGTATAAAGGAAAAAGAACAAATTTTTTTACCAGACTAGATCCTGGTTCACATGGATAGGTCTTATCACTTAAGATAAGGGGACAAGGGTTAAAAAATAATTTAAAAAAAAAATTAAAAAACACCATGCATGATGTTATTAAAGATACTAAGTGGAGTATAGCCAGTCTTACTCCCACAAGTAGCCTCATACTGGTATAGTACATGCTGTTTCCACTAGATATAGTTTCAAGTTGAGACTGCTCTCTTCGGATTAGTAGTTTAGCTACTAAGACACCCCTCAAGTGCCAGCGCAAACAACTGAGCCAGGATCTCTGAGCAAAGTCAAAAATGGATACAGCTACCATGACACAGATCCACATTGATTGCTTGGCCATGCCAACATTGTTGCAGCACCTGAGTTAGCTTGTTCAGAAATTATCCGACCTGGACAGCACTTCACCACATGTGAGACATTTGGTAAAACAGTAGCTTTCGCATAGGAAGCTTCAGGCCAACAGAACAACTGTTTGGTCACTTTAGCCCTAGGATGCCAGTCACAGCACAAGACTGTCAGCACATCAAGGTCACAGACCATCCTCCCACGGTCTAGACCTCCTTCTAACCCCTTGGGTATGCCCAAGCAAGGTATTAGGAGGAAGTTTGCCACTATATAATATGAAAATTCAATGCTCTGCTTTTATTCTGAATTTGGGGTCTTTTTTAGTGAAGTCAGAATCTATTCAGACTCAAAGCCACCGTTATGAGGCTCACACAATAATGCCACAGATGACGGGCAGGAGTAGGACCGTGTCACCAAATAGCAAGGCCCTTGTAAGTATCTAAGCCCAAAGTCTGTAGGATTTCCACCAATCTAATTTCACAAGAGTTCTTTCTATCCCAAAGTCTGACTGATAATGACTGCTGTACTGTTCAGAGATGGCTTATGGGAAGTCTTCAGAAAGACCCTGCCTGTCTTCCTGGGCCACAAGCTATACAGCCTTTGCTCATGAGGGAAAGTTTGGTGTACATAACAATGGTGAGAATCAGTCAGCAAAAATACCAAAATGATTCAAACTCTTGCCCTGGGTGTGACTGCCCTTCCCCATACACCTTGTATGAAGTTCTGGTCTCCTGTTGCTATTAAGCTTGCAGCATCTCTGCCCAACTACTGGAATATCTTGCAAGCAGGAAGGGATTTCCCAGCAGTTAGGCACGGCTGCAGCCAACCTGCCAGCTGCTTAAGAACAATGTGTGCCCAGATTCCCTGAAGCTATTTACAGTACCTGGATATCACCACATCAGCACAAGATGTGCATCAGTGAGTACAACTAAAGGTCTTTAGCCAACAACGAGGTTTTAATTAGTGAAATGTCAGTCACTGTTTTGACTTCACTTCCAGTTGCAGAGTCCTTGCATCTTTCCCTGGGAAGTGTCTACTATACCTTAACTACTACATAAATAGTTCTAACTTCATTAACAAAGGTCTAAATAGCCAAACCCTGCTATTAACTAGCAGTACTGTTGACACAAGAACATCTGCCAGAAATTCATTTACGCTGCCATCTATGATTATACTCTCGTCAGAGACAGACACTATCCCACATGCCAGCTGGATAACTCGTAACACATGCAAAACTAAACAAGCTTCAAACATGTATGCAGAAACAATCCCAGCTTTATCTGCTGTTCTTTTTCAATGCATCCAAAACTACAATGAGAACCACAGCAACTCAAACATATTAACATTAATACACATTGACCTGCCTTTTTGTTAATTCATGGAGATGATTGCCTACAAACACAAACCTGAGGGTGAATCAAGAACAAAGTAACAGATTTCAGGCAGCTACGCAGCAACCACTGTGGTTGGAAGACTTGGCGACCAGACAAGGAAGTTTCAAGAAATCTCCAGAAGATGAGGAAGTCACCTAAAATGCATCCTTACGTCAGACTTCTATTTTGCTGTAAACACTGTGCTAGTCAAGGTTGAAGGCAAAAGACACCAGCCCAATTCCAGTGTTCCCAGTTGCTTCAGGAGGGGCTTTACTAGGCTGTCAGACTGATATTAAAGAGAAGAGGTTTTACAAAAAACCTGGTGACTTTGCCTCCAATCTCTGTATTATCAGAAAGCAAAATCAGTCTAGCTGAAAAAGGCAACATCTCCACACAAGGCAATGCAACAGTGCCACAGGGAGATGGCCGAGATGAAAATTTGGTCCTAGTGGAAACAAAGGCAAGAAAACTTCATCTGAATGAAGGCAGGATTTCACTTGTGAATCTTGGTTGGATGCAGCCAAGACTTGTCTTGCAGCCAAGACAAGACTTCAGCACTTTTCCAGACTAACATCGCAAAGCAAGCAAGCGTTCACCTTTCTGTCATACCCCACTTTCTCATCCCCGGAGCCCCTTAGCACCGCCACACCAGAAGCAGCGAGGCTTGACATCGCCCCGACCCTTGGCTGTAGCCCTACTTCTGTTACTTAAGCGCCTCAACTTGGAAGCTTCACACGCGCAGCGCTTCTGAAAAGGGAGGGACAAGAGCTCAGCTCCCGATCCCCTGGAGCCCAGCAAAGCCCCGAGAAACTTCAGCAGCAGCAAGGGCACGCACCGCAGGCCGCGCCGCCCCCC